TCTATAATTTACTGGAACCACAGTGGTGACGCGCAGGAGATCGGCTTTTATAGTTTTCCTCCGTCGTTCCAGTTCGTCATCAACAACACCAAAATTAAGTGGTACACAAATGGAGAAGTAAGTTGTTTTTCTTACAGTCAAGAGTTTCTATTGAATATGGAGAGTTTTTCCCATTTCAGAAGAAATGTGTGTCTGTAAAGTGTTGATGGTTGTTCATGGTGCAAGTGATTGTTTGTTTTTTTTTAACAAAAACTGAATTACACATTTAAAAAGCTGTTTTGGCTCAGTTACTGCTACTAATCTATCATTTCCCCGTCATGACATTCTTTATCTGCTGAATGATATGTTGCACAGGTGCCTACTTCAGTGTGTTCCGAACAGTGTCCTGTAGGATATGCAAAAAAGCCAGATGGAATACACATGTGCTGCTTCACTTGTCAAATCTGTCCAAATGGAACATATGTCAACAGCACAGGTAAATAATTATGCCTGAATAGTGCTGCCATTGTTGCATTGATGGGACCTAATTGCAGACTGTATTTCACAACTCATAGCTTAATACTTCATTGTCATCTGATATATAGGTTTTAGTGTTCACCCTGATCCCTTAACATGTCAAATGAACTACAGCGATAAGTTATGTTATTGTCTTTTGACAGTTACCTTTACAGTGCATCACTGTAAACTCTTACGCACTTTTGGCAAGCAGTAAAACCTCATTTCAAATAACAGCATTACAACATGTAGCACTGTTTGACTTCTCTACACCTCTTCAGATCTCACTTTTCTTTTGTTTTTTAGTTCTAAAAATTCAACCTTAAAAATTCAGTGTGTAGAATTTAGTGACATCTAGTGGTGAAGTTGCATGTTGCAGCTGAATACCCCTCACCTCGACCTCCCCTAAAAGAGAACCTGTGGTAGCCTTCAGTTGTCATACAAACTCAAAAGGTGATTAGTTTGTCCAGTTTGGACTACTGTAGAAAACATGGCGGCCTCTGTGGAGAGGACCTGCTCCTGATGTAAATATTTAAAGATAACCCTTTAAATATAAAGGGTCCATTCTAGGGTAAAGAATGCAATTAATACAATTTAGATGATCACACACGACTGAAAATGCAAATAGAGCCCTTTCACATAAATCTTAAACATTGGACCTTCAACTGTATTAACAAAGTGTCTCTCTCTCTCTTGTTAAACAGAGGATCCCTACCAGTGCATGGCCTGTAAGGAGACAGAGTGGTCTGCAGAAGGAAGCTCATCATGTAACCTGCGGCTGGTGGAGTACATCCCATTCACAGACATTGGGGCTATACTGATCATGGTCGGGGCCTGGGCCTTGGTGGGCATCACACTCGCCATGTCTGTTCTCTTTGCCGTGAACTACAACACCCCTGTTGTCAGATCTGCTGGGGGACCCATGTGCTTCCTAATCTTAGGCTGCCTCAGTCTGTGTAGTATCAGTGTTTTCTTTTACTTTGGCAAACCAACTGTTTCTTTTTGTATCTTGAGGTTCTTACCGTTCTTCTTGTTCTACACTGTTTGTATCTCATGTTTTGTTGTGCGCTCCTTTCAAATTGTTTGCGTGTTCAAAATGGCTGCCAAGTTTCCCAAGCTGCACAGCTGGTGGATGAAGTATCATGGACAATGGCTGGTCATCACTGTGGCATTTGTTACTCAGGCAATCTTCCTTACCATTGGCTATTCCTCTGCACCCCCCAGGCTCTACAATGAAACAGTATGGTACCCAGATAAAATCATACTTAGTTGTGACTTCAATCTGAAAGCCTGCTTTGGTTCTATATTTATACTTCTGTCTCTGTGCAGTCTTTGCTTTATTTTCTCCTACATGGGAAAAGACCTCCCCAAAAATTACAACGAGGCCAAAGCGATAACGTTCTGTCTGCTGCTGCTGATCCTCAACTGGATCATCTTTGCCACTGAATACATGCTTTACCGGGGAARATACATCCAAACATTTAACGCCTTGGCAGTGCTCTCCAGTCTCTACTCCTTTCTGTTGTGGTACTTCATTCCAAAATGTTACATCATCATTTTCCAACCTAAGAAAAACACACAGCAGTACTTTCAAGGTCTCATTCAGAACTACACCAAAACTATTAGCCAGTAGCAGCTTACTGTAATTATGGGTTAATATTTGATGGATCTGATGTGCATTTCATATAATGAAATCATAATATATTACTTTATATGAAAAATGTATGCTTTTTAAAAAAATCTAGCGCCACCCTCTTATCCAGAGGTTGCTGCTGATATATGTAGTTTAAGCAGTCGCTACCGCTTTTCTTGAGTTTTATCACTTTGATAAAACCTATAATAATATGATTTAGAGTGTGGAAATACATTTTATAGTTAGATACCTGGTATATCAGGGCTACATCTTAAGTCTCCAATCATTGGATGTACTACAATATTACACATAACTCATACAACTGATACCTCCATTTATCAATCCATCCTCTAGCACAGTATCAGACTCTGACAGTATTCAACCGTTTTCTGCAGTTTCACAGATGTTCAAAGGTTACAATCGCGATATTCACTGCCACTAGATGTCAGACTAGCACCAGTATCTTGGACCCTCCTCATGTTTGCCTCTGTGTTCTCACCTGCAAGTATGTAAACTTCTAATCATACATTTTGAAATATCATAAGGTTCTATGACATTTAGCTGACTCAATTTAGATATTTTATACAGGTCACCATTTACAACAGTGATAGAAAAATGTATGTAATTCAATAAAAATTTAAAGTGGAATATAGTTTTGAGCTTAACATTTTTTGTGCTTGATATTACATTATTCTCACCACATGAAAACATCTACTCACTGTGATCTGTTCACAGACGAGACTATCTTGAATTTACTTGGTAGCTTTTTTTATGGAGATTCATATTAAAAAATGTTTTGCATTTATGTCTATTGCTCGTAATATATTTTCTTTCATCTCTAAGAAAGCGATAAAGTTCAGTCTCTAACTCTATTGGTCCACCTCATATTATAATTTCTCTACGTACACGCCCATACTGTCACATTTAGACTGTATCAGTGTGGTAATGAACAATGTCATCACTGAACAGTTATACAGCTGTAAAGACAACACTATGAGACTATCAGAGATGTCAGAGCCAGATGTGGTTTGGGTTTGTAGGTGCAATTTTCTTTTCTTAATCTTTAACTCTATACAAATAGTGACTGGTTTTAGTTCTGCACTCCTGTTGTCCCATATTCACAAATCACAATTTGTCTAATATGGCTTAACAAGGTGTTACTAACCATTATCAGGACCCACCACAACAATCCACAATCCACCATCATGATCCACCACCACAATCACAATCCATCACTTCTATCCATTATCAGGATTCATGATGATGATTCATAATCCACAATCCCCGATCACGATCCACAATCAGCTGCCACCATGATCACACTCCACCGTTACAATCCTTGATTTGCCATTCATGAATGGATAATGTAACAAAGTTACTTGTTTTAACTCAGAGTATCTATTTCAAACAATAAATGATCATTAATTTAACAACTTGTACAACTTAACTTTGTGAGTTAAAAGAAAGCTAAGTTAAAGTTGTGAATTATTTTTTCAGTGTATTTTGCAAGATAGCTTCAAGATCGCATTTATTTGCCTTTGACTACTTGGTAACATGAGGTTGAAATCATTTTAATAAATGTAGTATTGGGAGTGTGTCATTTAAGACTGAGATGGAAACAAAGAGAAAAGCAGTGCCCCCGGAAACTCAAATTTCCTGTTCAAATATTACAAACACTGACCATGCACATTATTATAGATGATAGGTGCAAACAATTGACAGCAATGATTGCTTATTAGTAGTTGACCCACCTCATGTGGCTACCACAGAAAATTTCATTTATACTTTAATTTTCTTTGACATCACCCTTTAATATCTGCTACAGACAGGGGTCAATCCCTTTCCAAACAGAATGTGGAGTTCAGCTGTGTCATTAGGAATTTGTCTGGTTTCAGACTTTAGTGAGAGTACAGCTCACGATCTATAGTCATCCTTCATTATCATCCACAGACAGATTGCAAATGATCTGCTTCCAAATGACCTGTGTGGTCTGAGGTTAAGTCATGCAGATCTCATTTGTTAGAGGATGTAGCATTCTAGCGTAAACCAAAGATATCTGGTTGAATCAATTAATTTGTTTGTATTTGCTTGAGACCACACACAACCTCACAGCCTTGTCTTTACTTCATCCCTGTCATCCATACACCATCCCTATAGCAACACTTGAATTCAATATGGAACTTAACTTACAAAAGCATATAACATTAAAATATTTGATATAACAGTTTAGCCATTAAGAAAATGATATACACAGAAAAATGATTCTACTTATCATTTACAAAATGAGCATTTTTTTTCTTCACTATATATTCACAGTTTGTGTCAAACCTTGCTTGACTTAAACACATACGTGCATTTTCCCTTCTCCCTCTCTCTCTCTTTCTCCTCTACTCTTTCTCCAGGATGTTCGAATTTCTTTTTGTGAATGGATGGATGGATGATCATTTAACTACAGGTCCACAACCTTAATCGGATGTTTATTATTGTATCCATGATGAAAAGTTTCCTCTTATAGTCAGAAAGTATTTAGACATTACCTTTTCCTAAACAAAGTCATTCTGTGCTTAAACCTGTGTGTTTTACTGTTGTTAACATGAAAACATATTTGTGCTTGTGTGTGTAGATACATATTTATACACCGTTTGTCTTAAACTCATCATAGAGGCAACTTGCTTGCTCATAATTATCGCTCGGCTCAGTGTGTAGCCATCACAGGAGTTGGTGCAGCTCAGATACGGTTTGCATACTACTCTGTGAGCTGCATGGTAATGAAGACTGGGGGTTTGCCATTACAAACCACACATTGCTTTTTAAGAGCAGAGGCTAAATCCCTTTAGAGACCACAGCAGATTGATAAATGATACCTACAACCATGAAACATTTTCTCTATTGTCTGTGTCTGCTGGGCTCTCTTCTATCTGCCTTCTCAACTCAATGCACTGTCCCAGCCTCGGAGTTTCAGCTGGAAGGAAACTATCTCATAGGGGGACTTTTTGATATTCATTATGTTAGTGACCCTGAACATCACGTCAGACCAGAGGCCATCAACTGCTCCAGGTGAGTTTTATTATACTTGAGAATGGATGTTTTATGAAACTATAAAATAAGCTCTTAGTGTAACGGATTATACTAAAATATAAACTAGTTACTAAAGCTCTCTTCTCACTCACTCCAGTTAATTGCACTTGATCAAGGTGACTGTGTAACATCAGACCTCAAACCTTGTACCATGAAATAGTTTATTTCTCTTCATGTAAACATATCAGTGTTGATGTCTGAAGACTTAATGTTGATTTAAAGTCAGTCCAGCTTTCCTGTTGTCCTTCCTTTGTCCACAGTCAACTCTTCAGTCTGTCCAGTTATCGGAGGTTTCAGTTGATGAGATTCGCTGTGGAGGAAATCAATAACTCCACCAACCTGCTGCCTAATGTGTCTCTTGGTTATGACATTTTTGACCAGTGCTCGGAATTTCAGAATTTCCCAGGAATTTTCAACCTCATCTCATTCAATGGCTCAATTAAACTCTTGGGTGAAAAACATGAGAATATATTCAAAATGACTAAAGTGGTAGGACTGGTCGGCCCCTTCTCAAGCACTGAGACAGTAACTGTTGCCCCGCTGTTCATGTTGGATTTCATCCCTATGGTAAATCTGTTTTGACTTGGTCTTGACAGTGAGAATTTTTTTGTTATTTATTGCCACTGAAAATATTGCCAATTTCTCTATTACTCTTTTAACAGGTCAGTTATGGAGCTTCCTTCTCTGCCTTTTCAGAAAAAGTGAAATATCCCTCTTTCCTGCGAACAGTGCATTCCAATGAAGACATCATAGAAGTGATTGTTAACATCATTCTGCACTTTAAATGGCAGTGGGTTGCTTTCCTCAACAGTGCTGATGAATATGGAATTGACGGCCTGATTTTGTTCATGAAGAGGATTAAAGACACTGAGATCTGCCTGCCGTTCACCAAAAAGCTCACTGACAACACTAATCACTCCCAAATGTTCCAACAGATAGATGCACTGAAGATACACATCATTGTTGTCTTTGCTCCTGAGTTGACTTCTGAAACTCTCATTAAGTCAGCAATTAGACTGAATGTCACCAACAAGGTGTGGATAGCAACAGACACCTGGTCCTTAAACAAGATACTTCTCAAGGAGACAGGAATCCAAAATATTGGAACTGTACTCGGCCTTTCTCAGTCAGTAGTGATGATACCCGGTTTCAGTGATTTTATCCATTCTTCCAAAAGCAGGACTCACTGTGGTAATGTAAAGCAACCAACGTTTTGTAATCAGGTTTGCAACTGTGACAGCCTGAGTGCAGAGGATCTCATTTCTATGGACCCATCCTTCTCTTTTGCTGTGTATTCTGCTGTATATGCTGTTGCAAACGCCTTACACAATGTCCTACAATGTGAAGCTGGTCAATGTAATGACAACATTACAGTGTACCCATACATGGTGAGTATACAAATGATTAGAAAGTTTATATTAGATTTTTCCCCACATTTATGATGATAGAACCTGTAGATAAGTTGATCTTAATCCAAAATAATTGGCTCACGTGTGTTTTATCACAAACACATCATATAACACACAACATTTAAACTTTACAACCAACAAAAGTAGTAACGGTCCTCTGAACTTTGTGTGTCCACATCAGGTTCTAGCAGAGCTGAAGAAGTCAAACTTTATGCTTTTAAATCAAAATATTCGGTTTGATCCGAATGGCAATCCCAGGTTTGGATCCTATTATATAGTTCTCTGGAACCAGAGTGGTGAAGCCCAGAGGATCGGCTTTTACGATTTTCACACATGTCCCCATTTTTTCATGAACAACACCAAAATACAGTGGTACTCAGGTGAAGAAGTAAGTCGTGTTTTTTCCCTAATCATGTGTATGAGAATACAAAATATCAAGACTTTGTGTACAGTATGTTGTTTGAGAAGATGGTGCTTAAAAAACACATTTAACGGCAGTGGAAAGAGCAGACAAACTGTTATCACAAACAGATGGTGGTTTGACATATTGGCATATGAGGGAATGTAAATATTACTCAGTGTCTAAACAGGATGTTCCCATTTTACAAAACATGTCAAGATACTTAAAGGTTCTGCATGCAGAATTTAGTGATATCTAGTGGTGAAGGTGCATGTTGCAGCCCAAATATAATGGGCTCATTCTAGAGTAAAGACATTTTAGATGAAACACATCGATGAAAAGGATTATGTTATATTCAATTTCTGACAATAGATCAATTTCACCTTAATATTACACACTGGACCTTTAAAAGCTGCATATGAATGTTGGTGTGAGTGCCCTCAACAGTATTTTCTTTTCTTTAATTACTTTGCTGATGAACAATTCAGGTGCCTACTTCGCGGTGTTCCCCACCATGTCCTGAGGGATATGCAAAAAATCCAGATGGAATCCACAAATGCTGTTTCACTTGTCAAATCTGTCCAAAAGGAACATATGTCAACAGCACAGGTAAATTATTATGGAGGAAAACAAGAACACTTAAAAAAGCATTTTGTCTTGATGAGAGAGGACTCCTGTCATTTCCAAAGCTGTTTAACATTCAGACACCTATAAGCTTCCATTTTTTTAACTTTGACCCTTGAACATGGATGAAGAATCTACTATAGACTGTTTATAAAAAGCTCTGCACACAACATCCAACACACAAACAATAAAAGTGACTTCATATTGTAGAACTGTTTGAGGCGAACTCATAGGACAGGGAATAATTCTGAAGTAGCTTCTGAGGATTAACACAGTACAAGAGAACAGAAGATTCCAAACAGACTGGTTCAGAACAGGCACTGCAGTGGTAGATTATGAAAGCTGAAGAGAGTAAAACTGCTTCCTCCACAGTCTGATTATCTTTTTACAACTGTATTAACAAAGTGTCTCTCTCTCTCTTGTT